GAATTAAAAAAAAACTAAAAAGAATAGATTGAGGGGTGATGTAGGGAAGGATTATGATAGCTGCCTTCAGATATTTGGGAGTCCTTGGAAGGATGATTAGAAAAATAAAAATAAAATAAAAAATTTTTTAAAAGGGAGCATCTAGGTTGTACAGTACATAGAGCACTGGCCCTGGAGTCAGGAGGACCTGAGTTCAAATGTGGCCTCAAGACATTTATTAGCTAGCTGTGTGATCCTGGGATCCCATTTCCCTCCAATAAAATGAAATAAAATAAAATAAGAGCAATTAGATTTTGGCTTGGTTCTATGGGGCAGAACTGTGAACAATGAGTCACAAGTTATAGGGAGACAGATTTAGGCTTGATGTCAGGAAAAACTTTCTAATAATTAGTCATCTAAGGATGAAATTGGCTTCTCTAGAGAGAATAAGATTACCATCACTGGAGGTATTCAAGTGAAGGCAGATTGATGAGCTCTTGTTGGGGAGGTCATAGAGGGGAGTCTGGTTCAGATCCAGGTTGTAGGAGATGGCCTTGAGGTCTCTGCCAACCAAGAGAGTTTTTGTGATTCTAAGAAAACCCTCCTCCTTCTTCTGAGGTTAGTAGATATAGTCTATAATACCTGACACACAGCAGGCGCTTAATAAATGTTGATTGATTGACCTCTCCTTCCTCTCAGGGACTTTAGCACGTTGGTCTGTAACATCTCTTTAGAAACTAACTGACACACCGCTTTATGACCTTGCTGGGACTTTTTATCTTTCAACACGATGCAGTAAATAACGGGCCTGGCCTTGCACTGGGGAAACCTGGGGATGGGTCAGTCCTGCCTCAGGCATAAACTGACCCTGGCCAAGTCACCTAACCTGTTAGTGCTTTAGGCAACTCTTTTTGAAGACCCTTTATTGCAGAGAAGCTGCCATCCAGCTTTGGGAGAGGGCTTCTCCTCACATGGGATTTCCCCAAATTAACGAAATCACAGGTGCAATCCCTATCTCTCCCCACCATAATTTAATGTTTTGAATTGCTATATGTTTGGTCTTTCCAAATAAATTCAAAGCCCTTAGAAGGCAAGGACCTGCCTTAAACTCTGTGTCACTACAGAGGCCAACACAGGCCAGATGCTTAACTAATACAGGCCAAGGAATTCCCATAAACCTCATCTCTTACAGTGGAGAAAGCCAGGTTCTAGAGGGGCTTTTTCCTTTATTGCTGCCAGTCTGTTAGCATCTAGTCCTCTGCCTTTCTCAGTCTTTGGGCTCAGTGGGTAGCATCCTCCTAATTCCCCACCTTCACTAGAAACACCCAGTAGACAAGGTGGGAGGAACATGGCGGTTCCAAATCAGGCTTCTATTTCCTCTCTTCCAACCTTGAGCATTGGGATGATTTTGGCCTTTTCTTTGTATCCCCTGAACTTAGAACTGTGCCTAGAACATAACAGGCAGGTAAGTGGGGCAGTAAACAAGAGTTCTGGGTCTGGAGTCAGGAAGACCTGAGTTCAAATCCAGCCTCAGACATTTATCAGCTGTCTGACCCTGGGCACATCACTTAATCTCTGCCTGCCTTAGTTTCATTTGTAGAAAGGGGGTAACGATAGCACCCACCTTCCAGGTCCCAGGGTTGTTGTGAGGCTCAAGTGAGATAATATTTGTAAAGCACTTTGCAAACCTTATAAATGCTAGCTATAATTAATTATAGTAAGCACTTAATAAATGCTTGATGACTGACTATTGCACTCATTTACAACATGTCCAAAAACTGGACTCATTATCCACCCCTCTCCCCCATATCTTCCACAGAGATCCTTATTTCTTTTTTGGAGGCAGTCAGGGTTAAGTGACTTGCCCAGGGTCACAGTATCTGATGCCGGTTTTGAACTCAGGTCCTCCTGACTCCAGGGCTGGTGCTCTATCCACTGTGCCACCTCGCTGTCCCAAAGGCCTTCTTTCTATGGAGGGCACTGCCATCTTTCAAGCTGCCCAGGTTTGAAACCTTAACTGCATCTTTGATGCTTCCTTCTCCCAAATGTCCAAGGCTTGGGTAAGATCTAATCTAGGATAGAATACAAGCAGGTCCTCAGCCTGGCATTTCAAGCCCTCCACGATCTTTTTCTGGCCTCTGTTTTCTTCCCTTCTCACGCTATATTTCATTTCCCATCTCCTCCTTTCAGCATCCTTATATTCCTTTAAAACTCAACTCTGGTGTCTCTTCTTCCTTCCAAGCTCTCTTGTTCTCCCCACATATTAATTCTCTCTCCCTCTTCAAATTACCCTGAACTTATCTCTGTCCATTCTATCGACTCCCCTCCTCCCCCCAGTAGAATAGAAGCTGTTTGAGGACAGGAACTGGTGGGAGGGGGAGGGGAGGAGATTTTGTATGTCCAGCCCTGGCCTCTATAATAAGAGTTTGTTGAATTGTTAGCTTCTCCATGGCAGAGGGGCCTGGCTTTTGATGCATCTGGCAGACCTATAGGGGCCAGTGGGTCACTGCATCGCATAGGCCTGGACTAGGGCCCTGCCATGCAGGCTCCCTCCCTCCCACATTCTCAGGAAATTCTGGCCTTCTTCCAGAACAGGGACAGGAAAGAAGCTCCCTGCTCTGCCCTGCCTTGCCCTGCCCTACTGCCCTGCTAGGCCCTTCCCTGACTCACCCTTTATGAGGCTACTCTCTCTTCCTCTGAAGCCAGAATCATGTGTGCTGGGGTGCACCTGTACTATGCAGCCTTGAACTCTGGGATGCATTTGGGGGGACTTGCCCCTTCGTATGCTGCTGGCTTCACAGACTCCCAGCCTTTTGTTAAGTGCCAGGCAGCCCTGAACTAGCTGTTGGCTGTTATACAGACAGCTATACTGCCTTGTCTCCATCTTCAAGTAACTTAGAATTGAATAGAAAACTATGAGGATAATGGGAAAATCTCTGGGTAGGAGGGAGGAGACCCAGGTTTGAATCTCAGCCCCTAGTTTACTACCTGACCTCGGTTTACTCATCTATAAAATGGGGGTGGAGGTGGGGTTGTTGGGTGAGATGCTGTCCAAAGTCCCTTCCAGCCCTAATAATCTGTTGAAATGATATATGTATAAGTGATTTGACTAATGAGCCACATGGCTTTAGTCAGTTACTCAGTTTCTCTAGGCTTCTAATTCCTTAAGCAGCAAAAATGGGAGAATTGGCCTAAGGCAGAACTTTTAAACACTATTTTGATAACTATATTTCAATATAATTGGTTTCCTTTGCAATGCTATGTATCTTATACCTTTCAAGGTCTTATTCTGAGAAGGGGATCCATAGGTTTTGCCAGAATGCCAAAGGGTTCCATGATGTACAAAAAGTTAAGAAAGGCCTGGCCTAGACAGTCTCCAAAGACCCTAACTCTAATTTACAGAGGCACCAGGGCATAGTGGACAGAATGCCAAGCCTGGAAGAGAGAAGACTGGGTTCAAAAACCTACCAATGATTAGCTAGGTGACCCTAGAAAAGTAGCTGAACCTTTCTGAGCCTGTGTTCCCCATCTGTGAAATGGGAATGACAATGTATGGACCACCTGCTTCATTGTCTCGAGAGCTTTGTAAACGTATACAAACAGGTGGTATTCTATCAGAAGAAATGCCAATAAATTTATCAAGAACAACAGAAAAAAACTCCCAGAATTAGCCTGAGCCCCAAGAATGGCAGTGGGGTTCCCTGGGCTCTTTATGTAGTTTTTATAGCTAAATTCCTCTTCACATCCTTGGAAAACCACTGGACCTCTAAGAGCTGAAGACTTCTCACAGAAGGAGCTAGCCAGGGGATAGTTCCCACTCCCTCCCTCCCTCCCCCAAGCCTCTCGAGATTCCCCTACCAACCCCCCCCCAGCTGTTAGAGCCGGTCAGCACTGAAAACGGGGACACTGCAGTCAGCTTCATCTGGTGTAGGATCCTTTCCCCAAGTATCATCACTGGGTCGCTCTGACAGCCACATGACTAAGCTTATGTTACTCAATGAAGCACAGGCCTCCCAAATGTATGGGTCAGTGTATGAGTGTGTGCGTTGCTAGGGGGTGGGAGTGGGGAGTGCTAGACTCACACAGAGTTAGAGCTTGGGGGGGGGGCAGCCCTGACACCGCAGGATCCCAGCTCTAGAATTCAGAAGGAACGGAAATGGTCATCTGAAGGAGAAAATGAGGCCCAGAGATGATGCCCTACCTTGCCCAAGATCACACATTTAAGTGACAGGAGAAATGAGTTTCCCCAGGACCACACACTGGGTGACAGTGAGGGAATTTGGAGCAGAACGCGGGTCTTCTAAATGGCCTGCCAATCCTAGTGTTCTTCCCTGTCTGTCACTAGCTGTAAGGCTTCCCTCTCCCTGGAGTCTAAAGAAACAGACCTAGGCTGATTGCAGGACCAGGAGTCTGGCCCAAAGAACCCTAGGGAAGCCTGGAGGGAAGCAGGCCCCTTTGGTCCCACAGACCAGGAGTGATTCCTGAAGATATCCAAGCGCTCACCCCAAGAGTAATATGTTGCCCTGGCCTTCTGAACACCAGCAGGCTTTTGATCTCCTTTCAGATGACTGTTTTTGGTGTTCCCCCCTCTAGTGACTGGACCTGAACGTACAGGCTAAGTCCCAAAGGTCAGAGGTGACTGAGACGCACCAGTGGTTGGGTTCTGGCTGTCCCTCGGGGCTGAGGACAAAGGTGTGTGTGTGGGAAGGCTAAGCCTGGAGCCAGGCCCAGGTCCGAGGGGCTGATCCCTGGGAAGCAGGATCTGCCTTTTAGCGTCCACCCAGCAGGGAAGCAGTTAAAGAAACCGGCTATTCAGGCCTCCGGAGCTGTGAGCTCAGAAATTTCCACTAGGATTAGATTCCCTTCAACTGGAAAGCCAGGCCAAAGTGTCTCCCGGAGCCAATGCGGCCCTCCTCCGCGGGGCCCTGGCTAGGCTGGGAGGTCCCTGGCCATCCAGCTGCAGGCATCAGAGAGGGTTAGACAGAGGAGGATGAGCTGGGGCGCTCAGAAGCAGCACTCACCCCGCAGACGCCATCGGAGCCGGGCAGGCGAGGTCTGGGCTCCGGCTCCGGCTCCGGCTCCGGCTCCGGCTCCGGCTCCGGCCCCCCGGCTGCTCCGGTTTCCTCTGGTGCAGAACGGTGAGTCACTCTGACTCGGGCTCGGAAAGGAAAGCCCTAGGGTGGAGCTTGCCCCTAAGATAACTAGGGATTGCACAACCGGCTGCGCTCCAGGGCACTGCTCCAGGGACTGCGCTGGCTGGGGATGAGCCGGGCGGCGGCGGCGGCGGCGGCGGACTTGTGGGGATGGAGCTTGGGGCACCTCGCATCGTCGCTGGCCAGGAGCTCCCACAGCCGAGTGGGGGGCGGGCGCACGGGGGTAGGAGGCGGGGTGCGGCCGAGGGGCTCGCCTCCCCTCCTTCCTGAGGCCGACCTGACCCCGAGGAGTCTCCCGATGGCCCTGTCTCCTCGGGGAGGACCAGCTGTCAACCTGGCCTAGAAGGGGCAGGGACCCTGTCGGAGGCTCCCTCTGCAGCCCTTTGAGAAGCAGCATGGCGCGTAGCAGCTCAACAAATAAATACCTCCCCACTTAGACTCCGAGGGCTGGCAGGGACCTTAGAGATCGTCTGGTCCAACCGTCATTGCTCTCCTGCTGAGCCGTAAGTGCGTGAATGAATCAGTGAAATTGACATCAGTGCGATTCACAAACACGTGACTGCTTCAAACCATAGGTGCTCTTAAACTCAGAGATAAAGCATCTCCCTATGAGGAGGGGGGGAGGGGGACAAGCATTTGTTAAGCACCCACTGTATGCCAGGCACTGTGCTCCACAGATACTATCTCATTTGATCCTGGCAACCTGGGAGGTAGATGCTATTTTGATTCTCATTTGACAGCTGAGGAAACAGAGGCAAACAGGTTAGAGATTTGTTCAGAGTCACATAGCTAGGAAGTATCTGAAGTCCAATTTGAACTCAGGTCTTCCTGACTCCAGGCTATCCACTGTGTCACCTAAACAGCTGCCTTATAGGGCAGAGGTGCTTAACGGTTTTTGTATCATGGACCCCTTTGACAGTCTGGTAAAGACTATGGACCCCTTATCAGAATCATGTTTTTTAAATTCATAAATGCATAGGGTTACAAAGGAAACCAATTAAAATGAATAAATGCATCCAAATATATTTCAAAAAAACAAATTCATGGACCCCAGGTTAAAAATCCCTGGTGGTAGAACCCCCTTAAGTAAGGAAACAGTCCCAGAAAGAAATGATTTGCCCTGTCACACAAATCCCTTAGCAACAGCCTGTGTCTGGACATCATGGCAATCACCCCAACCTGTAAAAATCACCCTATTCTCTTTTCCCAGTGCAGATTCCTAAGAAACCTTCCCCATAACTAAGATGAGACCTAGCTAGGACGGGACTCAAAGTGCATTGGAAAAGGACCCTTGATTTCAAAAAATGTATCATAGAATTCCAGTTCTGCTATTAAGTACTTGTGTAAATCTTGGGGAACACAGCCTGTCTGGGCCTCAGTTTCCTCACTGGGAAAATGAGAGGCAGACTAGATGATTTCTAAGGGCTTTTTCAGAAGGCAGCAGAAGTATACAGAGGAGAGAGCGCCGAATGTGAAGTTAGAGGATGTGGATTCAATTCCAGCTCTGCCATTTGCTACCTATGTGACTTTGGATAAGTCACTTCCCCTGCTCCTTAGTATCTTAAAAAAAGTCCACATTAGTCATGGTGTGAAAGAAGAATCAGAACAAAAAAGAAAAACCACAAGGAAATTTAAAAAAAAGAGAGAGAAGAGTATGCTTCTATCTGCATTCAGACTCCGTAGTTCTTTCTCTGGATGTGGATAGCATTTTCCATCATGAGTCTTTCTGGTCCTTAGTATCTTTATCTGTAAAATGAAAGCATTGGGTATAATGCTCTCCAGGGTCCCTCACAGCTCTGAATCCATGGTCTGTCTTAATAGTTGGTATTCAGGGACATTTGGGTCACTTTTTATTGTCTCAAGAGATCATCTTTCCTATATAAAATGGACATGGGGAGTAGGATACTTGTGATTCATTCGAGGGGATGGAGTATAAGGGGGCAGCATTGCTTAGAAGATAAAGCATTAGACCTGGGTTCTGGTCCCACGTCTGATGCTAGCTTGGCAGAACACTTAACCTCTCTGGACCTCCATTTTCTCATTTGTAGAATGAGGCTAATAATATAGAACCTACTTTGGAGGGCTGTTGTGAGGCTTACATGGAATGATGATGTATGTATGTATGTATGTATGAGTCAGCAATTAGAGGTTAAATGACTTGCCCAAGGTCATGCAGTTTCTAAGATCATGTCCCAGCTCTGGGACCATCTTTGGGGAAATCACTTCACAGCTCTCATGAAGGGGTTGGACTGAGGTTGTATCAAGTCCCCTGGGCTGATTTTTTTCCCCTATTAGGGTGAAAGCAATCCTTCACTTCAACAAGAACATATTGAGCACCTACTTTATTCTAGGTACAAACTCCTCTTTACTTTTAAAGCCCTTCATAACCTGACTCTCTTCTTCCTACTTTCCTAATCTTCTTACGCCTTACCATCCTCCACATACTCTGCAACTGATACTTCATCTGCAACTCTGTGCCTCTTCACATGCCTGGAATACTTTCCCTCCTCAACTCAACTTCCTGGCTTCCTTCAGATCTCTGCTAAAGCTACACTTTCAAAAGAAGTCTTTCCTAGGTCTCCTTAATCTTAGTGCCTTCCCTAAGACTCTTCCCAACTTATCCTATCTGTAGCTTGGTTGTACACCTAGCCATCTGCATGTTGCATGTTTGCATGTTGTATCATGAACTCCTAGAAAGGAGGAACTGGTAGGTTGCCCAGTAGGTAGAACCAGTGCTGGCTTGGAGTCAAAAAAGAACTGAGTTCAAATCCAGCCTCAGATGCTTACTAGCTGTGTGACCCTGGGCAAGTCACTTGACATCTGTTTGCTTTAGTTTTCTCAACTGTTAAATGGGGATGATAGTAGCATCTACCTTCCAGGGTTGCTGTGAAGATTAAATGCGATAATATTGTGGTTGTAAAGCACTAACACAGTGATGGGCACATACCAGTCACTCAATAAAGGCTTGTACCTTTCTCTCTTCTGGTCTTTCTTTGCATCCCCAGCACTTAGTATGGTGCCTGGCATACAGTAGTCACATAATAAATGCTAATTGCCTTCCTGCTCTTCAATACGGATGCAAAAATTAAAATGGCACTGTAATGCCACGTACATCTGGAGCTGGATCTCACAGACCATCTGGTTCCAAACCCTTACTTTAGAGTGGAGGAACTGAGGTGCGGATGTGACCTGCCCAAGGTCACACAGGCAGCAAGAGACCCAGATAAGGATTCAAACCCACAATGCGGGCTCTTCCCATTGTACCACACTGCCCCATCATTTCTGATGGAGCTACCGTGTAACTGAAAGGCAAAAGCCTTCTCTCAACAACGACGATAGCAGGAAGACGTGCACAGTGGAGGAGCGAAGCAGGTATCATTGGGGCCCTATGGTCTTACCCTAAGAAACAGTAGCCAGGGGAAGAAGGGATTCTTCTGTTTTCTGTCTGCACAACCTTGGGACAAGTCACTTCCGCTCTCTCTGGGCCTCAGTTTCCTCATCAGAAAATGAGGGGGCTGGGTTTAATAGCAACTGAGGTCCCTTCCAGCTTTTGTCTACAACTCTCCAAAAAGATCAGAAGGGTCTTCCCATTCCGGGCCTGGGGAGCTCCCCTTGAGCTGTGGCCCTCTAGAATATGCACAGCCAGTGACCCCTTCTGGTCAGTAACAAAACTACAGTTTTCAGAGTTTCCATTTAAATCTACTGAGGCACTGAATTAGGCACTGGGAATACAAATCAGAAAGTGAGACAATCCTTGCCCTCGAGAAGCTTACATTCTACTAGAATGACACCACAGATCCATGGAGCTTCAAAGGAAGGAGGTACAATTGTCAAACAGGTTTTAGCTCCTTTGCCCATTACAACTCCCTAATGACATAGGCAGGGGTTGGCATCATTTTACAGGTAGGAGATGTTGATATGCATTGATCATAAAACACTTAAACAGCACTTTACATATGTCTTACTTGATCCTTTCAACAACCCTGTGAGGTAGATGCTACTATTATTCCCTGTCTATAGATGAGGAAATTGATATTTGCTCAGGGTCATACAGTTTGCTGCTGCTGCTGCTACTACTATTGTACAACTACTACCGCCACCACCACCACCACTACTATTACTACCACTACCACTACTACTACTACTACCACCACCACCACTACAACCACCACTACTATTACTACCACTACCACTACCACTACTACTACTAACCACCTCCTAATATCTAACTAGTACTTTAAAGTTTTCAAAACCTTTACATATATCTCAATATGAAATGTTATCTCACAACAACCTGTAAGAAGTGCCATTATTGTTCTCATTAAACAAATGAGGAAACAGTCTGAAAGAAGATGAAGCCTTTGCCTAGGATCACACACTTAGTAAACACCTGAGGCAGGGTTAGAACTTGGGATTTTCTGACTCCAGATCCAGCACTGTGGTGAGCTATTTGCACATCAGTGTAGGTCTGATGGAAAGAAGGTCACTTCTCTAGCATCTCCAACTTCATTTCCCTTTCAAGGGTAGGTCCAAGCCCCTGGAGTAGTACTGTAAGTCTGGAGTCTTACGTGGGTCCCTGGGGTAAAGAAGGGATTTAATGGAATGCTAGGGGGTGCCTCTCAAGCAACCCCAGATTTACTTATTTTCCTTCCAGGGGAGTCTAAATCCTTAGCATAAGGGAAGGGAAAAAGTATTTGTTAAGCACCTACTATGTGCCAGGCATTGTGCTAAGCACTTTATAAATATCATCATCTCATTTGATCCTCAGGACAACCTAGGGAGGTAGTTACTATCATTACCCACCCCCTTTTATAGTTGAGGAATCTGAGGCAGACAGAGGTTAAGTAACCTGACCAGGGCCACACACCTAGTAAGTGTTTGAGGCTGCATTTGAACTCAAATCTTCCTGACTCCGGTATCTACTAGGACACCTAGCTGCCTCTACTATAAGACTCAAGAGTGGCCTTATAGGTCCCTGGGGTGAATGTGGGACTTGCTGGGGTATACAGAGTTGAGAATTTTGTTGATTTGTTTATAGGTCACAATGAGTATTTTGTCTGTGAAATGAAATAAGGCTGTTCAGTACCCAAAAGCATGCTACCTTTTATACTTTCATGGCACCTTGGAGAGCAACATGAACCATTCTGAGGTTCCCAGAGGAAAATCTGGGAAGGGACAAACAAACCAAAGAGGGATGATGGTTATTATTATTTTTTAGAAACCCCGAGATTGAACCCATTATTCCACACAACCCCATGGCTTGGAGTGCTAGACCCCTGGATTCCATATAGATTTAGAAACTCAGGCTCACAGAGGCAAAGATAGCTAGCCTTCATATAACCCTTTAAGGTTTGAAAAGCACTTCAGATATGTTATCTCATTTGACCTTCACAACAGCCCTGAGAGAGATAGATGCTTTGATGGTCCCCATTTACAGATAAGGTAACTGAAGCAGACAGAACTTAAGTGATTTGACCAGGGTCCATGCAGCTAAA